TTACTTGTATGGTGTGTCTTGTGAGGTGTTTACTGATCATCGTAGCCTCCGACACTTGTTCAAATAGAAGGATCTCAATTTGAGGCAGCAAAGATGGTTGGAGTTTCTTAAGGATTATGATATCACCATATTGTACTATCCGGGGAAGGCCAATGTAGTGGCCGATGCCTTGAGCCGAAAGGTGGTGAGTATGGGAAGTTTGGCATATATTCCAGTTGGGGAGAGACCTCTTGTAGTTGATGTTCAGGCCTTGGCCAATCGGTTCGTGAGGTTAGATATTTCGGAGCCCAATCGGGTATTGGCTTGTGTGGTTTCTCGGTCTTCCTTATATGATCGCATCAGAGAGCGCCAGTATGATGATCCGCATTTGCTTGTCCTTAAGGATAGAGTTCAGCATGATGATGCCAGAGATATGATCATTGGTGATGATGGGGTGTTGAGGATGCAGGGCCAGATTTGTGTGCCCAATGTGGATGGGATTCGGGAGTTGATTCTGGAGGAGGCCCATAGCTCGTGGTATTCCATTCATTCGGGTGCCGCGAAGATGTATCAAGATTTGAGGCAACACTATTTGTGGAGAAGAATGAAGAAAGACATTGTGGGATTTGTAGCTCGGTGTCTCAATTGTCAGTAGGTAAAATATGAGTATCAGAGACTGGGTGACTTGCTTCAGTGGATAGATATTCCAGAATGGAAGTGGGAGAGGATCACTATGGTCTTTGTAGTTGGACTTCTACAGACTTTGAGGAAGTTCAATGCTATTTGGGTGATTGTGGATCGGCTGACCAAGTCTGCGCACTTCATTCCTGTGTGTATTACTTATTCTTCAGAGTAGTTGGCAGAGATCTATATCCGGGAGATTGTTCGGTTGCATGGTGTCCCAGTTTCCATCATTTCAGATAGGGGCACTCAGTTTACTTCGCAGTTTTGGAGGTCGGTGCAGCGAGAATTTGGTACTTAGGTTGAGTTGAGCACAACTTTTCACCCTCAGACGGACGGGCAGTCGAGCACACTATTCAGATATTGGAGGATATGTTGCGTGCTTGTGTCATTGATTTCGGAGGGTCATGGGATCAGTTTCTACCGCTTACAAGTTTGCTTATAACAACAGCTACTAGTCGAGTATTCGGATGGCTCCATATAAGGCTTTGTATGGGAGGCGATGTAGATCTCTAGTTGGTTGGTTTGAGCCCGGTGAGGCTAGGCTATTGGGGGCAGACTTGGTGCAGGATGCCTTAGAAAAGGTAAAGGTGATTCAGGAGAGGCTTCGTACCGCGCAGTCGAGGCAAAAGCGTTATGCTGACAGGAAGGTTGGGGATGTGCCCTACATGGTTGGTGAAACAGTTCTGTTGAAGGTTTCACCCATGAAGGGTGTTATGAGATTTGGGAAGAAAGGGAAATTGAGTCCGCGGTTCATTGGGCCTTTTGAGGTGCTTCGGAGGATTGGGGAAGTGGCTTATGAGCTTGCTTTGCCACCCAGCTTATCGAGTGTGCATCCGGTATTTCATGTTTCTATGCTCCGGAAGTATATTGGGGATCTGTCTCATGTTCTGGATTTTAGCACGGTTCAATTGGATGATAATTTGACCTATGATGTGGGGCCAGTAGCTATTTTGGGTCGTCAGGTTCGTAAGTTAAGGTCAAAAGATATAGCTTCAGTGAAAGTGCAGTGGAGAGGTCAGCCCGTAGAGGAGGCTACCTGGGAGATCGAGCGGGAGATGCGGAGAAGATATCCTCACATGTTTGAGGCTTCAGGTATGTTTCTTGACTCGTTCGAAGATGAACATTTATTTAAGTTGGGGAGAATGTGACGACCCAGCCAGTCGTCTCATGAGTTACCCTTTGTTTTCCCCATTTCTGCTTCTTACTCTTTGTCTATCGGTTATATAAGTGATCGAGTTGGTTGGCTCGGGATCGAAAAGATTTCGAGAAGGTTTGAGACACTTAGTCTCTTTTGAGGAAACTTAAGTTGAAAACGTCAACCAGATGTTGACTTATATGTTAGAGGGCTCGGATGTGAGTTCCGATGGTTCGATTAGCTTCATAAGGTGATTTGGGACTTAGGAGCGTGATCAGAATGAGTTTTGGAGGTCCGGAGTAGATTTAGGCTTGAATTGGCGAAAGTGGATTTATTGGCGATTTCCGGTTGATAGGTGAGATTTTGATATAGGGGTCGGAATGGAATTCCAAGAGTCGCAGTAGTTTTGTTGTGTCATTTAGGATGTGTGTGCAAAATTTCAGGTCATTCGGACGTAGTTTGGTTGGGTTTTTGATCAAAAGCGGAATTCAGAAGATTTTGGAAACTTAGGCTTGACTCCGATGTGTTTTGGTTGATGTGATGTTGTTTTAGGTGTTTTGAAGATTGGTACAAGTTTGAAAAAGGTTTTGGGATATGCTAGTGCTTTTGGTTGAGGTCCCGGGGGCCTCGGGGTGATTTCGGATGGTTGACGAAGGAGTTTGAGACTTGGTGAATTGTAGATTTTTGCTGCTTCTGGTATTTCCGCACCTGCGAATTGGGGACCGCAGGTGCGTCGCCGCATATGCGGGAAAGCGGTTGCAGAAGCGGAAGCTGGGAAGATGGCAAGAATCGCAGAAGCGGTTATAGGGACCACACATGCGATGCCGCAGATGCGGGAATGGCATTGCAGATGCGAAAAGTGGTGAGTTAAGTGACTTCCGCAGAAGAGGATAAAGAACCGCAAATGCGGTACCGCAGAAGCGGTACATAGGGCCGCAGATGCGGAAATGCCTGGACAGAAGGTATAAATTGTGTCCTTCGCGATTTTTAGATATATTCACCATTTCTATCTCGGCTTTGGAGCTTTTTGGACGATTTGAAAGAGGAATTTCAAGGGAACTTCATTGAGGTAAGAAATTTGGACCTAAAACTCTTTCCTATGTTATTATTTCACGAATTAGAGCTATAATTAATGAAATTTAAGGGCTAAAATTGAGGAAAACTATGGCTTGAAAACTTAGACCTTTGCTTGAGGATTTGAAGGACCATTTGAGGTCGGATTTCAGAACTTTTGATATGTATGAACTCGTGGGGAGGTAAGGAATCTATTGATGTAAAAATTATCGAATTCCGAGACGGGGGACCGGGGTCGGGTTTTGGTAATTTCGGCATTTATGTTGTAAATTGATTATTTTTTCTTGGGCTTCGCTCCCTTAGCATATTTTGACGTCCTCGTTCTGATTTTGGATAGATTTGATGCGAGTGGAGGCCAATTCGAGGGGCAAAGGCATCACGAACTAGAGATTTGACCGGTTCAAGGTGAGTAATGATTGTAAATGATGTTCTGAGGGTATGAAACCCTGGACTTGCACATCATTGTGCTATATTGAGGTGACACACACGTTTGATGACGTGCGTGGGGTCGTACACTGTTGGGGATTGTGACTTAGTCCGTCCCGATTGACTATTTTACCGCGTGTTTGACTGAAATCTATTTGCTATTATCATGATTTGGGCTGAATGCCATATTTGGGCCTTGTGCCAACTATATGAACCCTTCAGGGATTTTTACTGGTATTTTCTCACTATTTTGACTTTATACTTGAACTCAGTCATGTTATATTTCACTGTATTCGTACTCAGCCATGTTTACTCTGTTTTAAATACTTAAATGATCTTTTAAATGATAATTGGGCTGAGAATCACTGTTTTACTGTTGTCCGAGTTGCTTGTGAGGATTTTGACTGAGTAAGGCCGAGGGCCTATGTTGTGAGGAAACATTTGATACTGATTATGAGGCTGAGGGCCTGAGATATGTACGCCACGCGGTGGCTTGATTGATATGAGGTCGAGGGCGGTGGCTTGATATTGCGCTTGGGCCGTAAGGGCCCCCTCTAGGAGTTTGTACACCCCTAGTGAGCGCGGGAGCCATTGTGATGTGAGATTGAGCCCGAGGGGCTGGTATTGTTTTGAGATATTGCCCGAGGGGCTGGTACTGTTTTGGGATATTGTCCGAGGGGCGGATTTGTTGATACTATGCCCGAGGGGCGAACCTTTATGTGTTTATTTGTCATAATTGATTATCAATTACCTGTTTAATTGTTGAAAAAGGCTTTTCAGGAAGTTAAATTTGAGTTAAAGGATTTTACCTATCTTTCACTGGTTTACTGTTTTTAAAAAGAGGTTTTTTACTGCTTCTTATAGCATGTTTTTGTGCCTTACATGATTTCCTGCTTTCAATCTTTATTTATGATTATTACTCACTGAGTTGGAGTACTCACTTTATTCCCTGCACCTTGTGTGCAGATTCAGGCATATCTGGTCCCGCTCCCGAGTGCTGATCATTCCGGCTCAGGCGGATCCGAGGAGCCTCTAGGTAGCTGTTGGCGTTTGCAGCCCGGATCTCTTCCCTATCTTATTCCTTTCCGTTCTTAGTTTCTATATTAAACTCTATAGTTATATACATTTGGAGTATTCCGTTCTGTTAGATGCTCATGACTAGTGGCACCCCGGTATCGGGCTGTGTTGGGTTATTTTCCGCACACTTTACTATTATCTGCTACTTTGAGATGTTATTATTACGCTTCGGACTTATTTCTTGTCGTTTATCTGTTAATAATTGAAATGGGAAGTGTCGGCTGGCCTTGTCTTCACGAGAGGCTCTATTACGACCGGGTTTGGGTTTAAGGTCGTGACATACACGGTTGACATGTTATAGTTTTAAAACACATGTTATAAGTGCCAAAATTGCTAACGGTGATTTTCAAAATAGGCATGTTTTTATTCCAAGAATACAACTATTAGCATCACAAGATGAAAAATTCCATTTGCTTTTAATAGAACATAATTTCCAGTACGATTGTGCTTTGCTGACTTTAAATAAAGCTCAAAATCAAACTTTGGATTTTGTTGGAATTTGTTTACGTGAACCAGTTTTTTCCTATTGTCAACTTTATGTTGCTTTATCAAGAGCTAAAAGTTCAAAAGGTATGAAACTATTAATTCGACTGCTGACATCAGACACCGAGGATGATCACTCAACCTATAACATAGTTTATGATGAAGTTATTCAAAAAGCATTCAATTAACTGATGCCAGGTAATAATTTTTATGCTTCACATGCCACAAAAATATATGTGATGTTCACTTTATACAACTCTGTTAAATTCTAAAGTCATTTGTACCTATTTGGCACTTACTGTTTTAATAATTGTTACTGTTGACGGTTTAGGTGTATTATTTGATGGAAAACATATGATATTTGTAGCAAAAATACTCAAGTAAGAATCTAAGGGGCAACAGCTAAAAGAGTAATAATTTTGGTCATTTCGCTGATATTCTCTGTGGATAACTACTTGGTTCTTTTAAAAAAAAATTAAAGGTTTGATTCTTTGTCAGTAAAGAATATAGTTTTTTAACTTAATTTTGGTGAAATAAGAAAGTTTGTGAAAAAAATGAATAATGTTTTCTCTAATGTCTAGAGTTACCATTTAGCATTGCCCTGCTATTATCTGTTTTAGTACTCTTATTACTTGTAGCGGGATTTTCTTATTTATGTTTCTTCTGATGTATTGCTCCAATGCCATCCACACCATTGTTCATTTTTTCTATGTTTTAGCCCTCCTTTCAGTACCTAGCAATGCCATCCTGACCTATTCAATTTTGTAATGCTTCATCATTTGGAGTCGAGATATCCATCAGTTCAGCAAGACAAACATGAAGGTGAGTTTCCTTATTAGAAGTTGAATTATATACTCATGCTTTCTAGCTTTTGATATAATTTCTTCCTACACAAGGAATGTTTCTCTGTTATTCCCTTGGACAAAAGATTTTAATAACAAAGTCTTGCTTTAGACCATATAACCATCAACAAATAATATATTTGAAAAACGTATGAGAGGAAAACAAAGAAATTAGAACAACATGGTTCATGCTTTGATGTATGCTTTAGATCTCTAATTTATAGATAAATTTGTCTTTTACTAGTCTTTTATTTGGTGATGTGCTATATAATGAATTTTATCTCATTACTGTTGATCGCTATATGCTACTGAGATTATTTTAATTTAGATGGATCTATGTTATAAGATTATGGTTATCTACTGAGAATATATTGTATATCTGGATTTTTCTAAAATTGTTCTTGATAAATAAAAAAGCTTATTAGTAGATATTTATTTGATGAGTAGTGCAAAACGAATCAACCATGAAAAACTGATAGCTGCTGCAACCTGCAGGTGAGTTTAAAAATGAACACAATAACAAGTAATTTGTTTGATGGAGTTCAAGAGAAGAACTATACAGATAAATTTGTTCTTGTCAATAGCTACAATTAACTATGTATACCTCAAATTTGACAGCAATATTAGCAAGAATCTCAGTCTCCTCTATTTATAGTAAATAACTATGACATCAGCTGTGAAATCTTCACAATTATATGATGTTCTAACTACTACATTATCACCATATGAATATTTTTTTAGTCGATGTGTTTCGCGAGGATCGACCACTCCTGTAAGTTAATATGTTTTAAATATTATTATTTGTTTTGTTTTGTTTGTTTACTCTTTTAACAACTATATGTATTTTGCATCAGTTCATTTTGTTAGTTGTATCTTAACTTTTTGAGGATGGTATGATCTATAACGTTTATTATGCTCAAATCAGTTTCCAAAGCCTATATGAGTTCTGTTATATGGATTTGCAAGAAAAATTTCATGCTTTGAATGTTCTCACTCTTGAACATATACTAACATTTCTGTCTTTATCTGACGCTTGTATCTAAATCTACTTCACTCGCTCCACCCCCAAAGAAAGGGATGCGTCTTTTTTGTACTTATTACTCATTTTATTCAACAAATTTCGTTCCTACTATTAAGCTAACTTGATTTTATAATGTTTATATTAGCTGTTCTGTTCAATGAAGCTCTCTGATGTACTCTCTCGACATATTTATCTTACGCAATAATGGTGCTCAAAAGTTGTTGGATATCGTGGTTGTTATTGGTGAGGCACTTACTTATGTTCTGTCAGGGATGTATGGCATTGTTAGCCAATTGGGTGTTGGAAATGCTATCCTAATTATCCTTCAACTCTTCTTTGCTGCTATCATCCTTATGTGCTTAGATGAACTTCTTCAGGAAGATATGCTTTTAGCTTCTGGAATTTCCTTGTTCATACCTACCAATATCTGGCAAGTTTCTTACAGGCCACCATAAAGATTTTCTTGGGTTCCTCAATACAATCTTGGAGCTTTTGATTTCTCGTTTATTATATTTTGCTGTGAAAGCATTATCTAGAAAGCCTTTAGTCCCACAACCATCAATGGCAGGCGTGATGCTAAATTTGAAGGTGCTATTATTCTTTTATTCCATCATACTATTACTAGATCATATAAGATCAGTGCCATTCGAGACGCGTCCTATCAGCAAAGTCTTCCCAATCTGACAAATCTGCTTGCAAGTATGCTGATCTTCCTTCGTGATGCTAATGAAAAAATTATGCTTACATTGTGATACAACTCAACCCACGTAATGTACACTTAACTATCAAGTTAGTCTCATTTGAGCTTTCAAAGCTATTGTACTTGCAATTTACGATTCAGCTGTTCAGCAAATAATGTTCGGATTCTGAAAAAAAAGAAAATAGAACATTAAAGTGATAAATTATGAGTAAGATACCGCCATATTGTTATCTCCTTCTACTCCAAGAGAGAAGATGAAACCGTAGATAAACAGTAAGTAATGGAATGATCAGAACAATAGATTACTTTTTGACATGTGAATCTTTTGTGTTTGCATATCTTTCCATACAAAGTCGTCATTAGAGATTTCTTTGCTATTTTGTATAATAGTAATTTCAACTTTGTGGGATTACACTGGATTTGTTATGAAAGAACTCTTAAGGACTCATGACCTTATGTTGTGATGTAAGCTTTCAAATTCATAGTTCTGGAGGAAACAAATTATACTACATTCAGAATTGGTTAGTTGGGGATGAGGTGAAGTTATTCAAATGGGAAAGATAAACAATAAATACATATAATATCTTGACTTTCGCATAGATGCCGGGATAGAACTTAGTTATAGGTTTGAATGCGAGGATATGACTCTCTGATTGTGCATAAACTGAACATGTCGGTACATGCTACTCACCTTAATTTCAATTTTTTATACAGGACAAACACAAGGAGTACATCAAGTGCTACTCAGTTCACATGTAAGAGTATATTCTCATGATTTCTCACAAGATGCTATAGTGTTTGACTAGGTGTTTGTTCTTTTCACCATAATTTAGATCTACTAAGAGGGTATCTATGAATTAAATAATCAAGTGAAAGATATAAGAGTCTTCTGCGGAGAAGGTTCCCAAAAGAGAACGGACTTGAGTCCGATAAGTGACTGCAGTGATCAATCCAACACTAGGTTTGGTTGATAAAAAGGCATAAAAGAATGCAAACAAGTTCACCTAAGGTTCGTATCTGCTGATCTTGTGAGATTATACACTTGTTTATCGTGAAAATGGTAACAATAATTAAATTTGTAAATGGGATTCTAAAAATTCGTGATCTATTTTTATGCTAGTCGTTAGAGTAGATGATGCTAGGAATATGAAGTTTAACAATGAAATGCGAGCTAAAACGAGGCAGTAATCAAATCGAGGGGCTTACTGCCCTGGATTCGGACTGGTCGATGGAGGACCTTGAGGTCGATATCTAGGCTCGATTTCGAGCTATCGGGGGTAATAGGGAATGGGGAAACAATTAGAATATGATCAAGCAAGGCTCTATATGGCCAATACCAAGTAATAAATGAAGAACAAGTGAAAGATTGATAAATGCTAAAGTGGCTTCGAGATAGTGAGAGCGAGCGAGCTAGAGAGAAAAGAGAGAGAGAGAGAGATATTATTGATCTTTGTGGAGAAATAGTTGGAGAAATATCAGCCCCTTACAAAGTAGCAAGTGTTCCCTTTATATAGAAGGGGAACCTGGCTATAGTACAATATGCATTAATTGTAAAGTATGGAGATGGGACAGCTAGACACGACGCTTCGGCATAGGCGCTGGATAGGCCGGCTCTGTCAGACTTAGCCGTGTACCTTGAGAGCTTCCCCTTTTGTTCTGGCCTCGACCTCCGTCTTATTCGAGTTGGGCCTCAACGAGCCCCGAGGGAGGGGACTCGGTCGTGGCTCCATATCCTCAAGGTCTCGAGACATTCTTCCGAAATGACTTGATAGCGAGAAATTAAGTCCTCTAATTTTGCCGCATACAGATAGTCTCCGTGTTTCCTAGAACGAAGCGATGGGAGATGATTCTGACACCTGACTCCTCGAGCTTCTTACGATGATGTCACACCAATGATGCAACCTGTGGCACGAGCTTTTGTGGCAACCAGGGTGTCCCATGGACTTTTGCATTTTGACATCATTCAAAGCACTGGCGATTCCCGTTCAAGGTGAATGTACCACCGTCGATTCGGTTTCTCAAGAACGCAGTAGTTGCGCCTGTTGGTCAATCTTCCAAAGCCTCGATGACCATGTCGTTACTCCCTATAAATGGGAGTGCCTTGGCATTGTTTTTCCTATCCCAGTATCTTCGTTGGTTCAGTTGCCCATTTATTCTTATCATCTCCTTCTATTTTTGAACATTATGCTTGGGGCTCATGGCCTCAAGGCCGTTTGGCAGAGCTCCCGTAGGTTGTGCTATGGCTTCTTTCCAAGGCTTCCATTTGTCGCATGACCGTGCTATCCCGTTGTTGTGTTCGCCGTTGCTATTGTTGTTGGGCCGAGACGATGACGGACGGGGAGTCGGTTCTCCCTTTCTATAAACAGTCATTCGGACTATGCACCGCTGCTCGCTCTTCTACTTAGGCCTGGTGTGGCACTTCATCCCTTGGGTTTTTCCTTTCCCAAGGGATAAAATGGCACTATTGGTCGTTGAGGCTGGGACCCGCCGAATCTTCAACCTTTGGCTTTGGTGGGTCATGTCTCTTTTCTCTGCCTCCTCTGCATCCCCTGCTTTTCCTCTTTTTCATCTTTTCCCTCGGAGGGGACCCCCGGGGGGATTGAGCTAGGAACCTATAGGAGGCGGCGGTCGAAGGAGTCGCCCTCGAGGATGTGTACTCGAGGGGGCGACGCTCGGGGATGCTGATACCGAAGATGGACCTTCGAGGATGGACCGGGCTCTCGGGTTTTATCACATGTACATCCTTCCATTCCTATGCTACTGTGTAGAGATCCTTTGTAGGCTTTTGTAATTGTATGTAAGGACCCCTCGAGGGCTATTATACATGGAAATATATGAATACGAAGAAACTTTCTTGATTTCTGTTTTCAACCTTCGCCCTATTGTTGTATGCTTTCGTGCCCTTCAAGGCTTTTGAATGTTTTCCTTTGTTGTTGACCGCTGATATCTAATTCGGACGTGAGCGTTCTTTCCGATCCTCCGCCGATTGATATGGCTCTTATTCGAGCCCATTGTTATACCTCGGACCAAGCCTGAATTGATCTGATAGGCTCGGGCTGTCGGGACCTTCAAGTTGGGGGCCTGCTTTGAATCTGATGCAGATAGCTTTTTAAAGCATAGTGGATAGACTTCTGTTGAGGGGCTGCCTTATTCTCAGGCGATGCCTCGAGCTCTCCTAGAGCTTTCACAATCGGAGCTTCGCGCGCTTATTTTTCTTTTTGAGAAAGGGAAATCATGAGATCAGGTACCACCTCGAGTTAAATGATGGCGTTGAAGGCTTCTCAAAGCCTTACTTCTCTTTCGGCGGAGATCCTCAAGGTCGGGCACTACCTCGAGACTAGAGACAATGCAGTTGACTCTTTGAGGCCTAACTTCTTGTCGATGGATGCCTCTGGGGTTGGGTACCACTCTGGGATCTGCATCAAGGCCGTTGGCCTCCAGGGCTTACTTTGGACAAGCAAATCGTCGTTGTTTCCTACATATATATGGGGTGGCCTTTGTTTCTTTGAGAGATATCATTATTCTGGATAACTATCCCTCTGCCTTGGCATTGGGTTCTTCGTCTCTTCAAGTGCAAAAAACATTGGAGCACGTCTTTGCCTTAGTCTGTCGATTCTACAATGGCCATGGCAACTACTATGGGGCCGGCCCGGCAGGGAGGGGAGAGATCCACGCACAACATTCAGGATCCGTGGGAGTTCACTATGAAGTCTGTGTCTTTGATTAGAGAGGAACATCTGGAGATGGTGAGGAAATACTGCAGATGGAGCGAGAGGGTGATGATGTGGGCACTTTCCCCAGGTGAGAGCATTACGGACTCTGCTGATGGATTCTTGAGCGTATACCTATATCCCTTTGCATTTGGCCCCCTCGACAGGGTTGTGCGTGATTTCTGCTTGAAGTATTAGGTTACTTTAGCGCAGATACATCCATCATTTTGGCGAGTGGTGCTGATGATGAGGTTCTTTGCGGAGAAGGCTGGGCTTGAATTCACGCTCAGCCACCTTGTCAGGTTGTACCGACCCTTTCACCACTGAGGCCTGTTAACCTTGCGGTGTCATTCGGCAATGCCTTTTGTTGTCGATGATGAAGAAAGTGAGGACCAAAAGTGGGCCAGTCGATTCGTTCGGGTCCGGACGGCTGACATTATCCCCGTAGAGCTTATGCCGTTTACCGAGGGTTGGAATTACGCTCGTGAGCGGAATGTCTGGCGCTTTCTCAGATTTTGCTTATAGCGAAAGTCAGTTGAGTAATCATGTTTTCCCCCTTTGTAGCAACTTCATGGATGTCGGGCGAAGTTCTTGATCTGCCCGGCTGGGTCCAGAGGTTGGTGACCCATTTGACCTGTGACGAGCATAGGTGGCAAGCTGTGTCCTGTAGCAGATAGGAAGAGAAACACCGAGGTATACGCGTACGATGACTTTACCTTGGTCTTCGTACATTTGAGATGACACTTTCCTTTTTCCTTTGCACTGGCTTTGCCGTTGCAGGTATCGGGCGGTTCCTAGGGGTGAGGATGTGTTCTTTCGGAAAGGGGAAGGAGTCGTCGGCCTCCGATCTAAGGGGTGATGGAGACAAATGGGATCCGTATCAGCAGTGCGATGGAGCTTTTAGTGGAGCTAAACGGGCATTAGTCTTCAAGGAGAGGACATCATTCGAGCCTGTTGTTCTCGGGGCGTTTGATTCCCGGACGGCGGTTCCTCTGAGTGAATATGCTTTGCCCGAGGTCAGTTCTCCTAAGACCGAAGAGGCAGGATCAACAGGAGTGTGCTCTGCCTTCGAGGAAGTCTGTCGGCTTCACTTCATGGTGAGTTTTGGCACAGTTCTTCTGTATTTCGCATCCTCCTTTCTTTATTGAGTTTTCCTTTTGCAGACCTTTGATAGGCTCAGGTCTGAGTTGCTCTGTCAAGTGGCCAGGATTCGGAAAGCTCTGGATGAGGGTGAGTCCCTCAGGCTCCTTAGCGAGGAGAAGGAGTTTGAGTTGTTGCATTGGCGATATGAGGCGTACCGGAGCTCGAATTACGAGAGCTTTTTGACGAAGCAGGTAACCTTTTATAGTATGCGCTTCGCTCTTCTCGAGTAAGGGCGGACGAGCGCGACGCTTGGTCCCTTCTTGCCGACGTCATGGAGAGCAAATCTGGGGATGGTAGGCCATAGCCTTTTGGAGCGTAGATTTTGCCACTTTTCCATATTGTACTTGATATTTGCAGAGCATGTTTTTAGATGGAGAGAGCACCTTTTGCGTATGTAAAATATGAGAAAACTTGAAGTGTTATCCTTTTTGTATCTCTTTCTTCATTGCTTTCGACCAGGCAAGCTGGTTTTTATGTTTGGTGAGAGCCTTGTGGATCCAGAGCTTACTAGATAGTCTTGGAGGCTTTTAAGTGAGACTTTTGATGTGAGTAGGCGTTGGGGTCTCCCCGTTTTGCCCAGCTGTTTAGGCTTAGTCTCCGAGTCAGGCCTTGACTCGAGCTTGCTTGACTTTTAATCTTCTGTGCCTGTGTGGGCGGATAGTAATTGTTCTTATTTCTTGCCCTTGGGCATTTTCTGTCTCAACTATTTTGGGTTCATTCTACGAGTCGCGTTGCGACTCGAGCTTTCATTGACCCTCAAGTTCTTTCGCGCCCGCATGGGCGGATGGCAATAACTTTTGTGCTTCGGGTCGAAGTGACCTTTCAAGTGTGGCCCGGAGGCTTGTTTGGTTGGAAACAATGGCATTTATGCCGCGCCCTTAGGCATATTGTAGTTAACTATTTTGGATCCGGTCTCCGTATTGGGTTATGACTCGAGCTCATTTTAATCCTCAAGTTTTCAATTTTTCGAGTTGGCGAGCTCTTACACTGTTTGTTCATTGAGACCTTTTAGTGTGCGGCCTGGAGGCTCGTTTGGCTGGCGATAATGGCTCTTATGTTTTTGCCCGTGGTCTTTTTGTAGGCTTTGTTTTCCTCTCGTTAAGTTTTTTTTTAAAATAATTTTGCCTAACCCGTCGTCGGTTCTAGAAGAACCTCAATTTCAAGTCGTTAGCGGCGATATTCGAGCACCTCATAAGGTTCTTATCTCGTAAGCCGAGTAGCTCGAAGCCTTGTGATTTGGAGCTGACATGGTCGAAGCTTGTTTGCCAGTTGAGGGAAGCCTATTTTAACCGGTTCTTTTCGAAGTATATTCGAAGTAATGGCCTGCGATTTTGTTAGCGACAGTCGGGCGTCCTCGAGTCACGTTAATTTGGCTGGAGTAGCCATTTTTACCATAGTCATATGTGTTTGGCCAGAGCCATTTTTGATCCCGAATGATAGTTTAGGCGTCTATACCGAGGGTATGCCCTTTCAGGATTCTTACAAATGCGACGTATAACCTAAACTTCCAGATTTTGAGTTTTATGCCTGTTGAAAGGTTTTGCCAAATTTTCATGCTTGTTGAGGTCTTACAGTTTGTCATGTCTGTTGAGGTCTTACAGTTTGTCATGCCTGTTGAGGTCTTACAGTTTCCCATGCCTGCTGAGGTCTTACAGTTTGTGTTGCCATATAGAATAGATCTGGGTACACCGAGTCTGCCCGCTCGGGGTCTTACAGCTTCAGGTTTCCCAGTGTTCGGCGATTAGAGATAGTCTCTGATTCATCGAGTTTGCTTCGACTCGAAGGCCGTTACTCGTGAGCTCGGAGTTACCTTGACGAGGCTTTATGAGCCTGGAGTTCCGACCCTGAGGTCGTGCGAGTGCCAAATTATTGACACTAAGTATCCAAGTATTTCGAGACGCATTTGGCGGGGAGGTCCCTGCCGATAGTATACTGAAATTTCCTTCTTTGGAGTATGAGATGCTGAAAGATATCCTTTTATTGCTTGGCGTAAATACATACCGTTTCGTTGTTGTGAGCTCGGCCCATGCGAGCGCAGCTTTCGGAACCATTTGGTCCGGTACATGATTCCTTATTGACGCTCAGTCAGCCGTTCCTCGGTCCTTCTGAGCAGATGGCGCCTCCAGAAAGGGGGGGGGGGTGCCCTTCATCGTTTGATTGCAAAAGAAGGCCTGTGATCATGTTGGATCCTCCCCAGGGGTACGTTGCTCTGTTAAGTGCCTTACTAGCGAAACCCTCTTTGGGGCGGAAGTCCAGCTGAGGGGAAAGAGTGCAGTGGCTCCTGTTAAGGCCTCGAGGGCTCTGGGTAGAGTTAGATCCTCCGAACGCCCTAACCCGGTGTCTGCATACATGTTAGTGAAAAATAACGAAGAAGGGAGGTAGTTTTCCTTTACCGCGGGATGTGTAGGTGATGTTTCGAGGTTTGGTATATTCCCGCTGTTTTGGGGAGTGGATTCTAGTACAGCCCTCCGATGTGTTTAATCGGGCTTGGCCGATAATGTGGTTCGCTTACCTTCTCACTCTTTCGAGGGTGGAGATGTTGATGCCACCGATGCGTCATGTGACGCGGGATTTCCCCTTGTCGCATATTGCTTCCTGCTGACGGTTTTAATTCTATCCATTGTGTGGGATTTTGTCCTTTTGGCGAAGTGGGGGCGGACCCGTCCTCAGGTGATGCGCCCGCGATCATCTGGATAAGGCGTTCGTGCCTTGCGCCTATTTCGACGATATGGAACTCGGTGTTCTGGCCTAGGCCAGTCATGCCGTACTGAGAAAACGGTCTTTCTCCTCGCCGTAGCGATCGCCGTTTGGAATTTGTCAAAGATTTAGGAGGTGGTTGTGTTTTGACCCGGTGGTCCGAGTCATACCGTCATCCTTGGCCCGCCAATGCTGATCTTGCCACCTGTACTCATGTGCACATGTTTTATTTAAAATGGACCGAGTGAGGAAGGAGGTTACCAATACGTCATTGCGAGGTCGAGACGAGGTCTCGGTACCCTCTTTGCTGAATGTAAGGGCATCTTCGGGGTATATCCCCAGATCTGCCTTTCTCTGGTGGCAAGAAATTTTGCTCTCCTTTTTACAAGTTCTTGGAAAAGGTCATCAGTCCTCCATCATTGCGGTGATGCGCTGTGGCACGCTTGCTTCGTTACTCTTGGCTGCATTCCGTACTAGGGACTGAACTTGAATTCGGTCGCTCGTCAGTTCTTGGCGGTAATTTTTGCTGAGCGGCTTGGCGTCTTTCCTTCGGAGATGGTGGCTACCTTCGACCCCGCCGCCACACTTGATATGTAGTTCTCGTGCTAGGCTGCGACGCCTTTGCGAGGAATTCCACCGAATTGGTCAGAGCCATTTGACGTCACCGGCTTCGCCTACGGCAAGCATGATGCTTGGTATAGCGATGTGGAAATTGTACTCTGGTGGACGAGATGCTCTTGCCGGCCATGTGCCCTCATCGAATTTGGTTTTGGTAACGATCCCTCGAGGATTTAGCCCTCGGGCCATTCTTCGATCGGTGCGAGGTAGATTGCATCTCGAGACGTTCCTTCTGTTTGCGGCGCACGGGTGGTACCTCGCTCTGTTTGGCATTGGTTTCTTTGCCAGGAGCCTTTTTAGGTAAGTTGATCCTGAGGGGGCTCCCGGGCGGTCATCCATAACTCTGGTTTGCGACTGATGCCGGGTATGGGTATCCGACCAGGTGTTGAATGGGTACCTGATCAAGCTTTGTTTGTACTGCCCTGAAATCGTTGGGCTCGGTTTGTTTAGGCTTCGAGTGAAGGCCTGTATTGCCCAGTCATCCAAGACCGGGGGTAATCCTGTTCGTTCCATTGGGAATTGAGGTGCGAATTCCCGTAGCATTTCATTCTCCCTTTGCTCGGCCCTAGATGCGTCGGGCTTTCTCGTCGTCATTTCGATGGCGCCGTCGTATGCCTTTATGAAGGAGTTTGCCAGTACGGTAGGTGAGTTTATGAGGTCGGGCGCTAGGTTATGAAGCCATATCACAGTCCCTTTCGAGAATGTTTCCCCGAACTTCTTCAATAATATGGGATTGAACTCGTCATCCCGTTTGCCTTTTCACGTGCACGTGTAGGCGGCGATGTGTTTGTTCGGATCTGAGGTTTCGTTGTACTCAGGGAGCTCTGGCATTCCGGACTTCTTTGAAATGGGTTTCGGGGCCACTTCCTCGAGGAACGGCCATCGCACGAACTGCCACAAACCTGATTCAATCCTTTTGGAGAGATCCCCAAGTACCTTTGCAATGGTAGGGTCTATAGGGATACCGACCCGTTACTGCTTGATTCCTCGGGTTCTTGCTCTGCGGGGGAGCTGTTTCTGGTACTGCCGTGCTGGGAGTCTTCGGATGGCTTTGTAACTAAGCGATGGCCAACTGTTGTGCCTGCAATATTTCAAAAATAACATGAAGACTAACTTCCTGTTCTTCTCGGGCTGAGGTTCTTTAGGCTTCCTGTCGGTCGATGTGCCGTACGCTCCCGTCGGTGTGTGAGGTTTCGTCGACTGGTCATACGTCTTGTGAGTCCTTGTCTGCTGGAATTGGTCCGAGCGTGTCATTGGGATTTTGTGGTTGCATTCTGGTAGCTGGAACAACCACGCCGTTTTCCCCATAGTTTTCGAGGTTGTTGTTCTCGATTCGGTTCACCGAGCCAAACATTTTGACCTGAAATCAAGAGATCTTGGATAATAAAAAGTGTGAAATATAACTTGCGTTTTTGTGATGGAACCAGCAAGAAAATAATCACTATTATTTTTAGCCCCACGGTGGGTGCCAAAGTGTTTACAGTGAAAATGGTAACAACAATTAAATTTGTAAATGAGATTCTAAAAATACGTGATCTATTTTTATGCTAGTTGTTAGAGCAGATGATGCCAGGAATATGAAGTTTAACGATGAAATGCGAGCTAAAATGAGGCAGTAATCAAACCGAGGGGCTTACTGCCCTGGCTTCAGACTGGTCGATGGAGGACCTCGAGGTCGATATCTGGGCTCGATTTTGAGCTATCAGGGGTAATCGAGAATGGTACAACAATTAGAATATGATCAAGCAAGGCTCTATATAGCCAATACCAAGCAATAAATGAAGAACAAGTGAAAGATTGATAAATGCTAAAGTAGCTTCAAGCTAGTGAGAGCAAGCGAGTTAGAGAGAAGAGAGAGAGAGAGAGATATATATAATTGATCTTTGTGGAGAAATAGTTGGAGCAACATCAGCCCCTTACAAAGTAGCAAGGGTTCCCTTTATATAGGAGGGGAACACGACTATAGTACAACATGCATTAATTGCAAAGTATGGAGATGGGACGGCTAGACGCGATGCTTCGGCATAGGCGCTGGATAGGCCGGCTCTGTCAAACTTAGCCGTGTAACTTGGGAGCTTCCCCTTCTGTTCTGGCCTCGACCTCCGTCTTCTACGAGTCGGGCCTCGACGAGCCCCGAGAGAGGGGACTCGGTCGTAGTTCCACGTCCTCGGAGTCTCGAGGCATTCTTCCGAAATGACTTGATAGCGAGAAATTAAGTCCTCTGATTTCGCTGCATACAACACTACATCAAAGTTTCTGATTAAAAAATCTATGACTTAAAGCCATGAAAGCTGATGTGAAATGTGATCTAATCGAAAAAACAGAAAGAAAAATAAATATTATGGTCCTTTGTTCAACTTTGTCACATTAATATTTTTAATAGTTAGAACAATAATGTTATTAATCTAGATAGTCATATACTTTTTCTGCAGCATCTTTGTTGATCAGGTTTGTCAAATTGCTCCTACTCGGTCTGCTGACTCACACTCCCTATAAAGGCCATCTGGTATTTTCGCTTTTGGGTAAATGGTGGGCAATATCCGATTTCACTTCTCTTTCCCGTACGATTATTCAGGTCACACTCTATTTATCTTTCTGTTTAGTTTCACTCTGTTCTTCGAGTTTCTTGTTACAACAAATTTGTGTTTGATCACCTTCGGGGTGACATCAGTTTATATTGTAATATTTCCATTGCCTCCTTGCTCTTCTCCTTCTGTGTGTGTAGCTTCTGTGTTTCTGTTTTAGCCTCTACCCTTAGGTGTCTGACAAAATTATTCAATGAATTAAGCTTTTTCCCTGCAGTGGGGTACAAGTACAATAATCAAATTTGAGGTGAAGCATTTAGACATTCCTTAAATTTTTTAACTAAAAATTAGCAAGAAATTACATTGACCTACTATATATTAAAATCTTGGAGGAGAAAAAATAAAAATAAAAAATATGAAGAAAGATAAAAATTGCAGAAGGGAAATGGTAAAATAATTTATAGGAACCTTTGATTAGGTGATACAGTGCATTTGAATTGATGTTCCAACTTATGTGATGATGAAAGTGTATAAATTGTTCGAAATATATATGCTTACGGATAAAAAATCCCACAACACCAACTTGATGACATTAGCAAATAAGATTGTTATAATGTAATCTAAATGAAATCTGTCAATATCTCCATTCTTTCTAAAAGTCGCATATTTTTTTGCTTTTGCTCTTATGTTGGTAGGGACTGTGTAAACACCGTGCTCTTCAACTGAAGTTTCTGTGTGGAATTGGCTACTGTCATGTTGGTGCCCTCTCATTGGTGATAAACAACTTCAATAAAATGTGTCATGTTACTCATTTCAAGACTTCTCAAAATCTCTTCGGAAATAGAACAACACATCCTTATCTTATTCAGACCATTGTGTACAATAATGGCAGTGATGAATGTAAGATGAGGCATCTTCTCTGGTTTGACCCTACTCTGGACTTCCATTGTGTACTATAATTTCAAAAAAGTTTCAAGTTGAACAAATTTATGTAAGCACAACATATTTTAGATTAAGATATAGTTAATGACGATCAATACTCTTTTGAATGCAAATTTTTTGTGAATAAGGTTCCGATAAGGGTATACAAGAACGCGAATCAGATAAACAATTTCTTTTCCAGTTGAGAGGACAATGTAAGAACTTTCTTGCACATAGAATGCAGATAACTGGGCGACTATAAGAGGCTTGGACAAGATAAACTGCACAAGTGCACCATTTTGTAGCATGTTATACGAATTTTAGTTTAGATGCTTGTCAATGAAAACCCCCTTTCTCTTGCTCATGTTTCCACCACTATCCACTGTTGGGATCAGTATACTGCTTGTTGCTTTCTGTCATAATCAAGGGCCAAACCAGTTTTGGACTTACAGTTATACTTTTGCAACAAATAAAGTAGCAAACATAATTGCTCAGAAAATTAATACTTCAGCTGTAAACTACTCCATGCAGCTTCTTGAATCAACTGCTTCAAATAATCATAGAGGAGATGCAAAAACTTTACAGAGGTGCTTATCACGTACAAGGTAGAAAACTCTCGAATTTCAAGTGTTTGATAGATGTTCCGAAACTCTAGAGTTCATCTAAAGTTCTTTCGTAAATGATATTTGCTCACTATCCTGTTTTCTCATTTTTGTGCTACAATGTATTTCTCTCTTTTATGACATTCATCTACTAACAATAAATCCATTGTTCCTAGAAGTTGAAATAGGTACTTCTGAAATACAGTTAATATATCAGAATGTTGCCTGGTGGTTCTACTTTTTCCATTCTGCTAATTTGTATTACACACATGTGCTAAGATATTTTTTACTTGTGTATTTTTCAGATTAGCTTGTTGTCTCTGCCATAAGGCAAAAACATTCTACTTCCTAAGAACACAAGTATTAGGGAACTGGTAGAATTGTAGCACTTTGTACTCTTGGTTTTGAAACATTTTGAATCAAATTGTATAGATTTCTTCCAGCTTTGTTTCATGATTTGTAAACAAAAGTTTTTTTTATGTTAAATAAAAGGCGAAATGGCTTCCTGGCCACTTAAACTTGTAGGGCTTTTGAAAGCCGATACACAAACTTTAGTTTTTCCCATTTAAACACTTAAACTTGTGAAACCTATAACTAATAAATACCTTTGACCATTGACTATGCTTATGTGGCGGTAGCTTATCTGACGTGGACATAGTGCATATAAGTCATATCCAAATGGCGTGTGTATCTGTTACTATTCATTAAAAAGATTGTAAAATCAAAAAAATAAACAAAAACTATAAGGAAAACCAAAAAAGAAGAAGAAATCCCATCTGCCGATTTCCATAGAAACACCCCCTAGATCCCGTCTTCTACACACCACCCTTGTATCTTCGCACTATCCCCAACGACTAGAAATAAGGCTTCACCCATAACCCACAGCAATGACCAAACGAACCCAACCAATCCTTTCTCCCCTTCTACGCCTAACAGCGCTCCCCCCTCTTCGGATTTTGAGCTTTTCTTGTTCTCAATCTAAAAGCTAGCTGCCTACCACTAGAAACGGCTGCAAGATAAACACACATACACTCAAGGGACAGAGAAACAGATCTGGTGGGTGAGAATGAGAGAAAAGGAGATGGGGAAGTGAGCAAAAAAACAAAGGGACAAAGATATTTTTGTGGTTGTTCGGTTTGAGTGTTGAGGACGTTCGAGATCGCCAGCGAGTTGTTTTTTTTCCGGTTCGTGGTACAATTTCCAGATTTCTGTTGATCATATATTATTCATATTTTTACTCATTTTCTTTAATTCACTTGAACAATTCTAAGTATCCGTTGTTGTTCGTTTGTGTTTGATTTTTTCTGTTGTAGTACCGTGTAAATTATTTGTGGCCCTCTTCTTAGTTAATTTGGTTTGCTGGGTAATTTTGGTACCTTGAGTTAGGTAAAAGTTGCATAGCTATGGTGAAGAAGAAAATAAGGGAAATAGGAGAAAAATTAGAAATTAATAAATTTATTCCAGCACATCTATTGGGTTTGTTTTCGCGCCCTTGACGTGTAACAATCCCATTGGTCATTTGCTGACTGGATGGACACGTCTGTGAATGTGTAATACACACGCGTAGGGTCAAGGGTCAAATGTGTTTATTAGTTAAGGGTTTCACGAGTTTGAGTGTTCAAATGGGAAAGTCCTAAGTTTGTGTATCGGCTTTCAAAAGCCTTACAAGTTTATGTGGCCAGGAAGCTATTACGCCTAAATAAAATTAATAAGGTTCTTAGGCCCGGGCACAGCCCGGGCTACCTCCAACAAGTATTGTAAAAAGTCCGGCAATTTTTTGTTGGAGCATGAGCTTTTGTTGAAATTAATCTTTGCATAAGACAACCAACTATATGCCTCACTATTCAAACTCAATGCATTAATTTAAGCACAAGAAGTTTCTGCCAAAATAAGATTAAATGAAATAATTGTTTATGTTGAGTACATCAGATCAAAGATATAAGAAAAAAGTAAAAGAAAGAAAAATTTCAGAAATAAGCCATGACTTTTTGATCGAAATCTTCTCCTCCCATGTGAATTTATTCATTTGTAATTATCAGAACCTCAAAAACACCTTAATATAAAACACCTAACATATATTGTTCTTCTTGTTGGACTTGATTAGATCATTGAACGAAAGTAAAATAGTTGGGGCATGTCGATCATTGGAGATCAAAATGTGATTGACTCAAACAGGACAACATTGCTACAAAATTATACATTTTTACTGTTGCTACTTTTCATATTATTCGATAAGGAATAATGCAATTTAGTGCCTGCAAAATAAATATTTGGTGGTTACGTAATTGAAAAGTCACCACCTTAATGAAGAGAGTTTTATGTACGCCTCCTAAAATTAGAAAATTAATTTTCACATTCCTAATTAATTGCAGCGGTTGAATTGCATTGAATAGATTGGAACAATTACATTGAGTTGAACGGAAAGTGTGACTTTTGGATTTCTAAACGTAAACATTAATTTAATAAAATGGAAAAATGAGAGAAAAGCCAAAAAAAGGAGAAAAAAGATAAGTGAGTTTCTTGGACAAAGAGAGGTGTCACCTCATTTTTCTATTGCCCTCTTTTATAATATATAATTGAAGATTACTCGGCTCATATATTTGTTTATATATATTTGTCGACAATTGGTTTTCGATTGATTGGTTATGTAAATTCCCAAAATCCTATATAAAGATATAATAAAGAATGGGTATACTTATGTTCTATATATTGATAGGAGTAAAAAATATTTATATAATCAAATTGCTTAAAAGGTAATAACATTAACTTAGAAAAAATAGCCTGTAGCATATTATAATATGTTAATCGTATAGTGTAAAATATTATTAAATTATTAGTATATAGTATGACTTATGTTAGGAACATGTCCAAAAGTTCAACTGAGTTCGATTTGATGAAAAGTTGTATATACTCAAATAACTCTATTTATACTATACTCTAATAAGTACTTTATCCGTCCCTTCTTAATCATTATGTTTCTCTTTTTGAGAGTCAATTTGATTAATTTTTAAAATTGAATTAAATTAGATCAACTCAATATTTTATAATTAATGCGTAGATATTTTAAAACTATAAATTTAATTTTTCACTAATATTAAAATATTAATTAAAGTCCACATAATTTTGATCTCAAACATGAAAAGCAGCCGATATTATGGAAGGGAGGAAGTAGGCAAAATATACTGTCATTCTGGAAGCTTGAGTAGGACAAGGAAAATAATGCAGGAATTTAGGCACGTTGCTGAAAAGTGATGGAAAAAACTGCCTTTTCTAGAACTTCTTTGTCCAAATAAGAAGCCATAATCCGTGAGCTCCTTTCACACTTGTCTTTCAAAGAAAGTGTACAAATGGAAAAAGTGAAAGGTTGTGATTGGTGAAATAAAGAGAGAGAGAGAAGCCACATTATAGTAAGACAAAGAAACAGCAAACGTGAGGATGTGATGCAGTACTCATCATAAATAGAGATCGAATTAATAGAAAGACGAGGAATTAATAACTTAAAAGAAAAAAGGGGCCTGTACTGTTGTTTGAGGTAGAGTTCAATCTGAAAGTTCAGCTGGTTGAATTATAGAAGCTTCCAGTACGTCCAAGTACACTGAATCAGTATTTGGACACCCTTAATAATTATCCAGTGGAAAACAAACAACAATTGGTCCTCGTAATTACACTTTCCTACGTTAGGCTAGGCACAAATTAAAGGAAAAGTTGTGTAGTAAGTGCTCTCTAATCTCTTGTGAAAATTAAGCTCTAATCTATTTTCTCTCTCCCACGCACACTTTTTCTCTTACTTGGCATGTATACTAAAAATAAATGTTCAATTTTTGTTGGGCACTTTACGCATATCAAGAGAAGACAACAAATTTCTTTCTGTTTTACCCATAATATTTATTACTCATTTCAAATCATTTTCTCAAATCCAATAAAAATGCATCAATTAATATGAGTATCATGGTAAATTATACGCTTCATTTATTATTTCTTAAGGGACGTGAAAAGTCAAAAGGTGCTGAGTAAAAGTGACCGGAAGGAGTATTAAACAATGATATCGTTTGTCTCAATATGTTTTTGACTGTTATACTAAATACTATTATAGATTTCAATATAATATGAAAAAGCAGTCCAAAAAATAACTTATTCATTGTAATAAGATAATTGTTATAAAGAATAATTATTATAAAGAGGCTTAACTATATTGTTTACCCGTAAAATAATACAGTTTAATTTGTAACATGGTTTATAGACAAGCGAATCAATTTGATCCCAAAACGAGAGTTAAATTAAATAAAATACAAGACATAACATATTGAAATTGAGACAGGACAACAAATAGCTTGGTTCCGGGAGCAGAGCTTCCGAAGGCGGTAATACAAATATTAGTAGACAAGAAATAAACTATTATTGAGCTTTTGAGTAGTATATAGCATAAGTTTTTCAGAAAATTCGTGTCCCCTACAATGGCGGTTGAAGTCACTATTTATACCTCTACCTAGGAACAAGGTCCTAGGATCAAGCCCCTCTTAAATTAA